GCATTTTGGCAAGTTCCAATTTTTCATTACTACGAACAAGGCTGAAACAAACATACACACACCTGCTTGCATACATGGACGAGGCTTCTCTAGGGAAGATAGTAAGCAGTAAACATACTGAATCACAGGATATGCTCAAATTTAAGAGATGTGCTAAAGACTTTCAAAGGAGCTGTACCAATTTACACCCCCCAAAGCAGTCATGAATGAGCCCGCGATCCCCCCAACCTCACCCTATAAGTGTCTGTCTCCCTCGTTCTAGCAACGTGTACAAACTTTAAATGTCTGCCAAACGGGGCTTCCCCGGTGGCGAGTGGAATCTGCCTTCCAATGCAGGGGATATGGATTTGATCCCTAGTCAGGGCACTATGATCTCACATGCAGAGTGGCAATTAAGCCCACCTACCACAGCTACGAAGCCCGCCTGCTCTGGAGCCCACGCATCACTAGAGAGAAGCCCATACAATGCATCAAAGACCCTTCGTGCAGCAACTAAAACCCAAAGCAGCCAAAAATAAACAATTTTTTTTTAATGTTAAAAATGTTTGCCAAACAGACCACTGAGAAGAATAGCACCTTGCTGTTCTTTCAATGTGCTTTTTCATGACCACTGACAAGGTTGTGCATCCTTCTGTAAGGTCATTTGCCATCAGTATCCCCTCTTCAGAGATCTGTGATTATACCTTTGCTCCAGATCCACTTTCCAGTGCCCCTCTACCACTGGTCAATGCCTCGCTCTCCCAGTTACTCACATACCTTCTCCTGAATCTGGCCCGCGATGCTGCGCAGGGCCTCCTGGAAAACTTTGTTCTTGGGCTCCAGGCTCACACATCTCTGCAGATCAAGGACTGCCTGGTCGAGGCGGCCCAGTTTCTCTAGGGCTTGGCTTCGCCGGTAAAGTGCTTTGACGTCCCCGCCGTCCTTTTCAATGGCTGAGCACAAACAGGAGCTCTGTCAGCACCCGAGAGGCCACCATCTCCAGGCAAGAGCAGTAGGGAAAGATCTCGAGGGCTAGAGGAAGGTTGGGGGACGGATGTGGGGCTCAGTATTTCAGCCTCAGAAAAGGTGAGGGTAGCTGCAGAAAAGGAGATGCCCGGGGAAGGGGGGGGGGGGCGGGGAAGAAGGCAGATGTGTTTTAGGGGTGAAAAGAGAAGGAAAAAGTGAGGGCTGCCCACCCCAGAAGCCCCACGGCTCCACCCAAGGGCTCTCATTCCCTTACCTTTGGTTGCCTCCGTTTCTGCTTTCTCGTAATCTTCCTGAAACAGAAAGAACAGGGCTTGAGATGCTGGTCATCTCCTTTTTCGGGCAAAACTGGGCAACAGGGTTGTTCTCGAATCACCTAAAGGCCCAAAGGCCATGTGACAAGTTTGGGGGCCCGAGCAGCGGCGGGGTGGGCAAAAGAGGCCCGGGCAGGCAAGGGGAAGAGCAGCCGGCTCCCTCACCAGCTTGAGGTGGCAGGCGGCCCGGTTCCGATGCAGAATGGCCTGGTCCTGGGGCGTTGCGCCCAGACCCAGGGCTTGCGTGTAGGCCGTCAAGGCACCTTCGTAGTCCCCGCATTTGAACAGCTCGTTGCCATCCTTCCGCAGCTGTTCCACTGAGCTGGCCTGTGGAGGGAACGCGTGGAAACGTCGCAGGTAGGCTCAGGGTTAGACGGGGAGCTATTGGGAGAGGACGCTGGGGGTCGCGGGCGAGTCCCATGGAGGGCCAAACTGAGAGGGAGGAGGCGGCCCGGGAATCGCCCGAGCAGGTGAGAAGTGGAGATGGCCCAGGGGAATGGGTAGATGGGTACGCACCCCGGGGCCGGCAGACTGGGGCTCGGGGGTCCCTGGACCACTCACAGTCATCGCTCCACAGACGTCCCGGGCGGGCGCAGGCGCAGTCTCCGAAGCAGGGTGGGTCGAGACTCGGGAATCCGCCGCCGGCTGCCCCGCCCCCGTCTTGCGTCAGAGGCGGGGGAGGGGGAACGGGCGGGGCCAAGGCGAGAGCGCGCCAGGAGCGGGGCGGTGCTGGGCCCCGGTCCGCAGGCGCAAAGAAGCCCCGGGCGCGCTTAGTCTGTTCCCGCCGAGACCTGCAGGGGGCGCGCGGTGGAGGACCTAGAGGGACGCCGGTTGCTGCTGGGGCCCAGGTCTCGGCATCGGTCCCGGCCCCGACCCCGAACGCGGCAGAAATGCACAAGGTCTGCCGTCATCAGGGCCACGAGCAGCAGGCTGTAAAGGCTCAGCGCTAGGAGCGGGCCCGGACCCCTGTGAGAGAGGGGAGGGTATCAGGATGCAGGCCCCAGCCGTTCTCGCCGCTTCATGTGTGTTACAGAGCCCCCCGAGAGTCTGGAGAAAGCTGCCCAGAAAAGTAAAGAATGTGTAAATACGAACTCAGGGAGCTCACAGGTACCCTGAAGTCATCCACGGACAGATTAGGATTGAAAACCCCGATGATAATACATGTTGAATCAAACCCCGACTGCAAGGAGATCCAACCAGTCAATCCTAAAGGAAATCAGTCCTGAATATTCACTGGACGGACTGATGCTGAAGCTGAAACTCCCAATACTTTGGCCACCTGATGAGAAGAACTGACTTACTGGAAAGGACCCTGATGCTGGGAAGGATTGAACGCAGGAGGAGAAGGGGACAATAGAGGATGAGATGGTTGGATGGCATCGATGGACATGAGTTTGAGCAAGCTCGCCAGGCGTGCTGCCGTCCATGGGGGTCGCAAAGAGTCGGACACGACTGAGCGACTGAACTGAACTCCAGATACATGTACTCCAGATTGCAAGATCCTTTCAGTATTGACATCCGTCCAACCCCACCTGCCACACAACACCTACAGTGACTCCCTGTTGCCATTCTCACAGCCCCCTGAACTTCTCCTTCACAGATTGTTTTGTAATTATGTATTTAGGTGATTCTATGTTTGAGATCTGTCTGTAAACTACAAGCCTCCCACTACAGAAATTAGGAACAGAGTCCAAGATACTGGAACACCCTGTCAGCGTACCAGTGGCTCTGGAGTTGAGTTCTCCTCACCTGAAGATAGGAGGAGGCCGAAGGGCAGACAGATTGACCTGGTTCAATGCCTCAAATTCAGCCTGAGTGCAGCAGAAGCCCCCTGCAGCCTGCAGGTGGCAGCAGTAGGCTTCCTCCGGGGTGTCAGAGAGACGAGGGCAGAAGAAACCTGGGTAGCGACGGCCAGCAGCGTCCCAGGTGGTCTGGCACAGGTGGGGGTGGTGGGCCAAAGCTGAAGGGAGGGGTGAGGGGGGCTGGAGACAGGCAGGAGTGATCTACCCACATCCCACTCACCCCTTTTGGAGAGTAAAAGGGGTCAACTATTATCAGAAGGGCAGGCTTTCTCTCTCCTCACCAGCTCCCCAGAGTAGCCTATACCTGATAAAAGAGTAAGTACTGGAAGGGGTGGTGGGCAGAGGAGAGTGCTGTACCTGAGAGGGAGGCTGGCTGAGCACGCATCATCCAGCCGAAGAACAGCAGTAGCCCCACCGACAGGCCTGTCAGCAGAGGGCCTGACCTCCTCTGGAAGCCCATGAGAGGTCACCTCCACTTCCACCTCGGCCCTGGTCCTAGAAACCCCAACAGCTCTATTTCTAAGCCACAGATGCAGACCGTAAGGAAATAAAAATCAAAGCACCGTTAACACAAACCTGAAGCTTCTCTGGCACAGACCTCTAGCGAGAGATGGAAGTGACTGAGTTTCTATCTTCTGTTGAAAAATGTGGGGATTTGTGGCTCCATGCTGCCTAAGTTTCTCTGAGCTGAAGGGGGAAAGGCTCAGAAGGCTGGAGGGCTGAATGAGGAATGAGCCAAGAGTCAAGCCACTAGCCTGAAGAACAGACACACGTTTAGAACCAGATTTGTTTCTCTCCACCCACTCTTGACTTTTAGGCTGCCGTGGAAGCCATGGGAATTCAGCTTGTTCCATTTCAGGCCCCAGAGACCTCGTATTCAGTGTTTGGGGCTTCCCTCTCTAACTTCTGCATCGTGGCAACCACCAAGACTAGCTGAAAAGCAAGAGGGAGTGCTCTCGTTAACTTGTCCCCTGAGTCCTCATTGGCCCCAGCTACCAGCCAAAGTACAAAAGCTGCTAATCAACTGGAGTAAACTTAGCAATCAGCCAATCCCACTTCACAGGGACAGCTCTTCCAGGGTCTCCCGGTCCCAGCAAACCTCACATTTCATAGATACTGTCTGCTGAGACAGGGGATTTCTCCAAAAGACCAGAGGCCACCAGCCCGCAGTGTTGTGTTGTTGTAGTGTCTACTGAGGCCTGACAACGTCATGCTCTCAGAACAACAGTGACAATGATCATAAGCCCCAGGGCCCCACCGCAGTGCCTGGGGACTGAAGTAGGAACCCTCATGGCACAAGAAAGACATGCAGATTTTGCTCCTGGCACCTGAGAGCAAAGAAAACAGTTCCTGCAGAAACAGCACTGCAGCCTGGGAGCCTAAGTCTGAACCATCACGGAGGGCTCCCACTGTAAGCTGCAATTTCTAGAAGGTCAGATCCCAGGGGTCTTCTGGGCCCTAGTGTGAGGCCTCTTTGCCCATAGCAACCAGGCCATTCTTGCAGGGAGAGCTATTTTTAGAAAACTTTGAGAATGTTCAGAGCATTGGCAGCTTGAAAATTGTCTTTTCATGGCGGGAGAGGGTCCTCCCCAGAGAAGTTGTCTCTAGCCCAGGGGCTAGGTTACTTGCTCTCCCTCCAAGTTACCACAGTCCTCTGCGCCTTCCTGCTCCGGACACAGTGAGGCCACTGTCTTCTTGTCTGTTTTCCTCCTTCCCCCATGCTGCGGGCTCCCAGAGAGCCAGGCCATATTCTTCTTGCACCCTCGGCAAAGCACACTTAACTAGCAGCTGCGATGCTGTATACAGGCAGCAGCTTCCCACACCCAAGGCCCACCCATCAGACCCGGAAGAACGCATCCAGACCAGACTCCACCATCTCCCGGGCCTCCGCAGCGCCAGGGGGCGCTGTGGGCGCTGGGCCCACGCTCCCCGGGAGCTTGGGACCTAAGGTACCCGCCCCACCTACGCGATGGGCTCCGAGGTGGCCCAGCTGCTGGAGGCTGCTGACTTCGCGGCCCGCAAGCACCAACGGCAGCGGCGGAAGGACCCCGAAGGGACCCCCTACATCAACCACCCTATCGGTGGGCGCGCCGCCGGGGGAGCCACGGCTGTAGCCTCCAGGGGTTGGGGACCGGGAAGGGAACGCGGAGGGCGCGCAACTCCTCGGGCACCTAGTTGGTACCAAGCTTTGTGCCAGGCACAGTTCGTGTTTAAGACTCACAGCGACCTGGGGCGGTCGGCATGGCTGTTCCCTGTGTACAGTGGACATCCAAAAAAAAAAAAAAAGACTTGCCCACGGTCACCCTGCTAGTGAGGGGCGGCCACCTCTGGCTCTGCCGAACCCACATCACGCCGCCCTGAACCCCTCCTGATTTCCTGCTTTGCCCCGTCAGGTGTGGCTCGGATCCTGACCCACGAGGCGGGGATCACTGACATTGTGGTGTTACAGGTAACTTTCCTCCTCTGCTACGAGGCTGGGCTGGGGATCAGGGGCCCCAATCAGCTTCGGGCACCCCTTGGCAGGCGTCCCAGGACTGAGTGGGAGCCTGTCCGCAGGCAGCCCTGCTCCATGACACAGTGGAGGACACAGACACCACCCTGGATGAGGTGGAGCTGCACTTTGGAGACCAAGTGCGGCGCCTGGTGGAGGAGGTGACAGATGACAAGACTCTGCCCAAGCTGGAGAGAAAGCGGCTGCAGGTGGAGCAGGCACCCCAGAGCAGCCCCGGAGCTAAACTGGTGAAGCTGGCAGATAAGCTGTACAATCTGAGGGACCTGAATCGCTGCACCCCAGAGGGTACGCTCTCCCCCACCTGCTCTGAGGGAAAAAGGAGGGGTATCCATCTTCTGAAGGCACAGGTTGGTCAGTTCCCCTGGAATAAAAGCCCAAGTGTTCTTGTTAATTCCCTAAACTAATCTTACTAGACCCTTCTGATCTTTCATACGGTAGAAATACAGAAGCTGGGCCAAGGGGAAGTTTTCAGCACACATCCTTCCATCAGGAACTCATGGCCCCGCGCCAAGCCCCTCAGGAAGTGGGCAAAATCCAGGGCACTCCTGGACATCAACACGAGCTGTTTTCTGTCCACTCTTACGCAGGATGGTCTGAACACCGAGTCCAGGAATACTTCGAGTGGGCGGCACAGGTGGTGAAGGGGCTCCAGGGAACAAACCGGCAGCTGGAAGAGGCCCTAAGGCAGCTGTTTAAGGAGCGGGGGCTGACACTCTGAGCGGTGCTTGGAGCCATCCTTGCCCAGGCTAGAGAAGATGCATACTCCAGCCTTTCCATGCTTCCCAGGCTCCCTCCCTGGTTTGCTCAGCACAGATATTAGAGACCACAGAAAAGACAACGTGTCTTTTCTGACTCTGAAGATCTACCAACTAAGCTGAGCCCCAGGTTGTGGGATGATGCGCCCCATCCATTTCTAATGCATTCACTGCCCCTCTTCAGGCCTTGGATCTGTTTGTTGTTTTGCACGGTGGGATCTCTGGCTCCTCAGGGACTTAGGCTTATCTATAAATGCTGGTCTGAAAATCATTATGCAAAATAAAACATTTGGATAAAGCTTTGAGTTGCTGCTGCTCCTCCTCCAGCCTCCCCAGTGGGGAACCGATGTGTGTGTGTCGGGAGGAGATATCTGCCCTTCAGTAGGGCAGGGTTCCAACTGTGTACCCTCTGGGACAGGTCCCTCAGGTTGAGGGCCTGAACCCCTCGGAGCTTGGTTTCCTTATCAGTGGGATAGGTTGTGTAACTATCAGGGTTGAGCTAGGTGACATGCCTGACACATAGATGCTCAGAAATTGGTAGGCTTCCTCACTGAGGAAGTCGGGTGGGAAAGAAGTTGACGTACATATTGACATATGTATTGGAAAGAAGTGCCACCCTGCTTACTGGCAGGTCTGCTCAGCAGAGTCCCCAGCAACAACATGATGGGGCCTGTGAGGGGGGGAGGGTCCCTCATACCCCAGGTTGCCACGGAAACCTGCTGCGGTTGGCACCCCACCCTGTCTCACCATCATCCCATCTCTGATTCCTTTCGTTACTAAGCAACAGGAACTTCCAGGTGCCCCAGGAAGTGGCCTGGGAACTGACCAACCCTTAGAACCCATTAGGGTCTGGGAGAAGGGGCAGAGCTTTTCGAGGCATCCACCTGAAGGGATCAAGTGAAGTGTTGTTGATCACTGCTGAGCAGCTGAGGGTTATTTAGTTCAGTTCAGTTCAGTTGCTCAGTTGTGTCCGACTCTGCAACCCCATGAATCGCAGCACGCCAGGCCTCCCTGTCCATCACCAACTCCCGGAGTTTACTCAAACTCATGCCCATTGAGTCAGTGATGCCATCCAACCATCTCATCCTCAGTCGTCTCCTTCTCCTCCTGCCCCCAATCCCTCCCAGCATCAGGGTCTTTTCCAACGAGTCAACTCTTCACATGAGGTGGCCAAAGTATTGGAGTTTCAGCTTCAGCATCAGTCCTTCTAATGAACACCCAGGACTGATCTCCTTTAGGATGGGCTGGTTGGATGAGGGTTATTAGCCCACTCTAAACAGGTAACACTTGCGGGGGTGAGGAGGGTTGTTAGGTCAAATGCCACTTCGTGGTCACAAGATGATTGATGTTTTCTTTTCACATGTGTTTCCTAATTGTTCTTTGTAATAACTGGATGAGATAGGCAAGGTAGGGATTATTGTTCTCATTTTACAAAGATGAAATATGAAGCTCAGAGAGGTGAGAATACCATTAATGATTAAACAGAGTAGTGTCAAAATCAAGACCAGAATCCCTCTTTTTGCCACTGTGGGCCTTTTTAACCAAACAAGATTGACCACAATTGAGATTAACTCCAACCACGCTAGGACTTCCCTGGTGGCTCAGTGGTAAAGAGTCTGCCTGTCAAGGCAGGGTGTATCATGGGGTTTGATCCATGATCCAGGATGATTCCACAAGGTGTGGCGCAACTAAGCCCATGTGGAGCAACGACTATCTCCACACCCTAGGGCCCACACACTGCATCTACTGAAGCCTGTGCGTGCCTAGAGCCTGTGTTCCATAAGCGAAGCCACCACCACAATGAGAAGCCTGCACACTACAACAAACAGTAGCCCCTGCTTGCCACAACTAGAGAAAGCCTTCGAGCAGCAACAAGCACCCAATGCAAGCAAAAACAGTCTATATAAACCAAAGTACAACCATTGACATCAGGAAATTAATGTTAATACACTACTACCTTAAATCTCTGATGATAGAGGGCTTCACAATTTACTTGTATGCTTACTTTGGCTTTTGTTGGGCTGGGAATATGTCTGGGGACTTTCCAAGCAGTCCAGTGGTTAAGATTCTGTGCTCTCACTGCCAAGGGCCTGGGTTGAATCCCCTGATTGGGGAACTAAAAATCCCATAAGCCTTGCAGCATGGCCAAAACAAAAAACAATTTTGCTTCTGGCCTAGAATTAGGTCAACAGAGATTCCTGGCCCCTCCGAGGATCTGTCTTTAACTGGACGCCATTTCTCCAGATCTGCACGGCCTCATCTTCTCTCATGGCGGTAGTTGTTCTCTCCTTTCTTAGTCAAAGGAGATTTCCTTTTGAGTATGACTATGCTTTTACATTTTTAATATTTTATTTAGCATTCTGAGGCACTAGTTGAGGGGGCAACAGGACAAGTGTCTACTCATTCAGTTTGAATGCACTTCCCCAGGCATTCTGACAAAGGAAACCTGTTTTTCCTCCATCAGTGAGCTTCGCAGGCCTCCATGCTGAATGCTATGTCTTCCATCTTCAACCCTGTCGTGTTCCAAATGCCAAGGAAGCCTCATTCCCACCCCCACACAGGCTTCCTGTGCCTCATTGTTGTTCAGTCGCTTAGCCTCAGATGCCTTTGCAACCCCATGGACTGCAGCATGCCAGGCTTCCCTGTCCTTCACCATCTCCCAGAGCTTGCTCAAACTCATGTTCATTGAGTTGATGATGCCATCCAACCGTCTCACCCTCTGTCATCCCCTTCTCCTCCTCCCTTCAATCTTTCCTAGAATAAGGGTCTTTTTCAATGAGTCAGCTCTTTGCATCAGGTGGCCAAAGTATTGGAGCTTCACCTTCAACATCAATCCTTCCAATGAATATTCAGGATTGATTTCCTTTAGGATTGACTGGTTTGATCTCCTTGCAGTCCAAGGGACTCTCAAGAGTCTTCTCCATTCATGCGAAGAGTTGACTCATTGGAAAAGACCCTGATGCTGGAAGGGGTTGAGGGCAGGAAGAGAAGGGGATGACAGAGGATGAGATGGCTGGATGGCATCACCGACTCGATGGACATGAGTTTGAGTAGACTTTGGGAGTTGGTGATGGACAGGGAGGCCTGGTGTGCTGCAATTCATGGGGTCGCAAAGGGTCGGATATGACTGAACTGAACTGAGCAATGTCTAAGTCAGGAGCCAAAAATGGATGGACACTCTTTGCAGAATCACTTGGTCCTGGCAACTGTTAAAGATCAATTTCCCTCTGACCCTAAGTAAAATTGAGGTTTGATGTGAAGGATCTAGTCTGTCATGGTTTTTTTTTTTTCCCCTGTAAGAATTGCTCCTTGAAGTGTTTGTTCTTTGTACACATTTTTTTGTTAGGGAAAAGCAAAAATTTAGTTCAAAAATCTCTTTTGGATGGGAAGCCTCATTCCTACCACTCACACTATGATTTCCTTCCTCTGAGTGCATGAACATCATTAGTTAAACATGGTGACAGTGTGGTACACAGGTCAATTTCAGGGTAAGGATGTCACTCTCTCCACACAGGTTATACTCATCCCCTAGGCAAGCTGAATCAGAGTGCAGTGTGGCCTGCCCACCCTGCACAGGGGGGGCCCAGTAAGTCAGCTGTTCTCTTCATGGTTCCAGCTGGCCACATAGTCCTCCGTTCTTCCTGGACACAAAATGGTTCTCCATGGGTAGAGAGTTGCAGAGAATAGAATCCTATCCATTGCCAGTGGTTGAAGTTGTTTCTCTCATGTCCTGGCTCTGTGTGTGTGTGTGGTTTGTTTTTTTTTATGTGTTTCATTTCACTGAAAATGGATTCGTGTAATAGCCTGTGTAATAGCCTGGTATCGATATTGTATAGTGGAAAGAACGCTAGATTGGCTCTGCCACTGACATGGGGGAGTTCATGTAACCTCTGTGGGTCTCAGCTTATTTGTAAAATGAGAGGGTTGGACTAAATGAGCTCTACATGCCTTTCTGGAACACCATATGTGTTTGTAATTGAAGAGAAATTCCATATTCCTTAACAGAGGATCCTGCATTGAAAGCAGGCACTCGCTCATGGGCAAACGGTATCTGCCCCCAGGGCCTCTTTCCTCCCAAATTCTCCCTTACTCCTAAGGTCCCTGGTTGATTTTTTTTTAAAATTAAACACTGAGAAATATTAATTAGAAGTTACACATTAGGTTATCAAATTATATTGACACAATGATCTCTAAGTTCTTTCCAATTCCAGAGTATAATTATAGGTTATTGCACTTACATTCTTAATTCCAGGCATTGATCTTTTTTTTCCCCGTCGTGCTACATGGCACACGGGATCTTAGCTCCCTGACCAGGGATCAAACCTGCACCCCCTGCAGTGGAAGCACAAGTTTTAACCACTGGACCACCAGGAAAGTCCAGGTATTGATCTAACCTAGGAAAGAGACCAACTCTTAATCCCATGGTTTCTAACAAGGCTGTTGTATTCTCAACACCACATTTTATAAACTGGATTACTTACATACATATTTTAAGTATTTCTGAACTGGAAATGTGCATTCTTCTACAAAGGGCAAAAGAGGCATCATTTTTTTCTACCACATACCATAAAGGGAAATCTGTCAGAACGAAGTTGGTACAGTTATGAGTCCATACAGCAGTAATACTTTAAACAAATGGGATCAAAGTATGTGTAAAATTTAGTATCCTTTAAGAAATGGAAGCTGAAAAGTATATTAAGAAAATTTCAATCAAGCACAAGTAATCCACCTTCCTGAACTGCAAACACTTCAAGTATACATTAGGGATCTGGTTCTGGTTTTGGTGTAACCCTCAGAATTATGAGGCCTGAGGGCCAGAGCTCCATGGGAAAGGGTTACTGCTAGCCTTAAAATAGTAGGCCCTTTTTCAAATTGTAAGTGCAGCAGACTCACCTGGGAGCTTGTTTTAAGTGTGGATTCTTTGCTCCCTCCTCCCAGAGATTGGTTCAACAGGCTGTGCCAAGCAATCTGTTTCTCCTCCTGTGTGCTGGGGGAAGGTTTTATTTCTTGTTCTCATCATGTCTTGGGGACCCATGGCTCTGCTGCACAGACGCCCCTCCAGCGTGCCGGCTGAAGGAGCAGCCCCGGCCAGCACAGGCCGGGCAGCTGGACTTTCAATGAGTAATTCTGGTGATTGTGGACCACACCTTGAGCAATGCTGCCTTATGGGGTTCTAAGAGGCCAGTATGTAGGAATGAACACTTCAGTTCCTGGCACATCTAATACCTCCAAAGAGAACAGCCTTTATTTTACTAATTTCCTAGGGGGTTCACAGGTTCTCCCTTAAAACTGGATTACAAGTTATACTAGTAAATAACACCAGCTATAATGTAATTGCTTAGCATCCTTACTGAACATGATTGCAGCTCATATTTACTGAGCTCTTATATTAAATGTACCAGGCACTGTGCTCAGCACTTCATTCTTTGTGTGACAGAGAATGTGTCACATTCTCTGGTAACCTTCATTCTTTCCCTGTGACACAGACAGGATGCCGCATGTCCTGGCCTGGCAGCAATGACCCTGGGTGACCCAGAAAAATTCAGCTGGCCACTGCTCAGTAAGCCCCATGACTTGCTCTAAGGAGCTCAAAGCAAGTTATTCTCCTGAAGTGATCATACACACCAATGTGCTGCAAATATTTTCTCCCAGTCATTTGTGTTTTAATCTTGGTGGTTTCCATCATAAACAAACTTTACACATATTTTTGGCGGTAAAATCTGTTTATCTTCTCCCTTATTATAGCTTTTAAGTTTTCTGTCCTGTTCAGAAAAGACCTTTCCACACTGGAATACAAAAATATCCTATATTTTCCTCAGTAATTCTGGAGTTCAATTTTTTGTCTTTTCCCCTCTGGAGTTACTTTTTGTGGAATCTGTGAGGTAGAGAGCTCTTGTTTTAATATAGGCAGTTATCATAGTCTTTATTAAATAATCCATCTTTTTCCCACTTAAATACTCCTGTGTCCTGTACTGAGTCCCTCACACCTGGGTCTGATGCTGGGCTCTCCCTTTGATTCCAGCAGTCTGATCCCACCCCAGAGCTCCCTGGGAAATCTAGTGCCTTTTACCCAGCACGACTGCCCCACCCACCCTCTGCTCATTCAGAATTTTCTTAGTAGTCTCACACATTTACTCTTCCAAATGAACGCTGTTGTCATTCAGTCGCTAAGTCATATCCGACGCTTTGTGACCCCATGGAATGCAGGATACCAGGCTTCCCTGTCCTTCACCATCTCCCGGAGCTTGCTCAAACTCATGTCCATTGAATCAGTGATACCATTCAACCATCTCAACCTCTATCATCCCCTTCTCCTCCTGCCTTCAATCTTTCCCAGCATTAGGGTCTTTTCCAATGAATAAGCTCTTCGCATCAGGTGGCCAAAGTACTGGAGCTTCAGCATCAGTCCTTCCAAACAATATTCAGGGTTGATTTCCTTTAGGATTGACTGGTTTGATCTCCCTGATGTCCAAGGAACTCTCAAGTTTTCTCCAACATCACAGTTCAAAAGCATCAATTCTTCAGCGCTTAGCCTTCTTTATGGTCCAACTCTCACAATTCATAAATGACTGCTGGAAAAACCATAGCTTTGACTATACGGACCTTTGTCAGCAAAGTAATGTCTCTTCTTTTTAAAACGCTGTCTAGGTTTGTCATAGCTTTTCTTCCAAGAAGCAAGCATCTTTTAATTTTATGGCTGCAGTCATCATCCACAGTGATTTTGGAGCCCAAGAAAATAAAGTCTGTCACTGTTTCCATTGTTTCCCCATCTATTTGCCATGAAGCAATGGGGCTGGATGCCATGATCTTAGTTTTTTGAATGCTGAATTTTAAGCCAGCTTTTTCTGGCTCTCCTCTTTCACATTTGTCAAGAGGCTCTTTAGTTCCTCTTCCCTTTCTGCCATAAGGGTGGTGTCATCTGCATATCTGAGGTTACTGACATTTCTCCCGGTAATCTTGATTCCAGCTTGTGCTCCATTCAGCCCAGCATTTTGCATGATGTACTCTGCATATAAGTTAAATAAGCAGGGTAACAATATATACCCATTTTTGAACCAGTCCATTGTTCTATGTCTGGTTCTAACTGTTGTTTCTTGACCTACATACAGGTTTCTTAGGAGGCAGGTAAGGTGGTGTGGTATTCCTATCTCTTTAAGAATTTTCCACAGTTTGTTGTGATCCACACAGTCAAAGGTTTTAGCGTAGTCAATGAAGCAGATGTTTTTTGGGAATTCTCTTGCTTTTTCTATGATCCAACAGGTGTTGACAATTTTGGAACCTGTCAAATTCCAAAAAGTATCCAATCTCACTGGAATACACTGAATTTATGGGATGATTTGCAGAGAACGAGAATCTTTACAGAACTGTAACATGCATCGTTTGAGTCGACATACAGAATGCTCTATTAAGGTCTTGAGTTGATCCTCTTGGATTGTACTGGATGGATGTTTTGGAACTTTTGCTCACCTGTCTCATCTGCCACACTGCAGGGGTTAGTAGTGCCAGAACACAGCTAAGTAACTGCATGGCCTTGGTGAATCTCTTGATTTTACTGGGAATGTCTGTGGTGGTTGGCTCTTTAGAATGCCACTGACTGTGGGTTTCAGATGGAGACAACTTTATCTAGGCTAGGATGTTTCTTCCTAATCTTTAACTCACTAAGAGTTTAACAAGGGATGGATTTAAAATTTTACCAAATATTGTTTAATAAGGAATAGATTTTAAATTTTACCAAATGTTCTTTCAGCATCTATAGAGACTATGATAAATTTTTCTCTAATAATCGAAGCCGCAATGAAGGCTGACGAGCAGCCACAGTGCCTCCTAATTTAGTCTATGTCTCCTTAGTTCCCCACAAAGACTTCTGCAGAAGGATGTGCAAGGAGAAGCTTCAGGCCTGCAAGGATGATGTCGGAAGCCTTCTCAAATTGGAAGCTTCACTTTCTTTTCAGGGAAAGGAAATGTGCCAGATCAAACGCCCCTGTGACAGGAAGTGGCTCCTGGGGAGAGTGGTGGGCAGCGTGCAGGAACCAGAGGAGTCAAGCAGGGTGGCCCCTCCCTCACCCCACAAATCAACACGCAGACCAAGTGCCCAGTCTGAGATGGGGGTTTTGGTACCTGAAGTGTCCTATGCCCTGCGGCCACGACAGTCATGAGTCCTTCCTGCCACACGGCAGCCCCTGGCCAGGGCATGCAGGTCAGGGAGCACTTCCGAAAGGAGCTGTCACACAAACAGCCATTCCTTCTACTCCTCCACCCCACAGCGAACCCTTGGTACCCAGCCCCCTCTTCCTGGTGTTGCTCTGCTCCTGCTCGTCACATCAGGACATGTGTCCTTACACAACTACGGGACTCCCCTAGAGTCAGCTGTCGCCCACTGTGAGCCTGACGCCGGGCTGTGGCCCACTCAGCCTCCCCTGCTTCTCCTCCATCCCATTCGCGGAACAGGGTGAATGCCTGAGCCGGTGCCCCACGAAGTGGACATGCACACCCCAAAGCAGAGGCTAGCACTGCCCCCTCTGAGCAAGGGCCTTCGCTGCTGCATCTCAGCGGCGCTGCCCTACCTATCCACCCAACACTGGGCCTGTGGGCTGCCCCCCTGCACAGAAGCAACGATAAAGGGAAAATGAGGGCAGAGCCCAGTCTGTCATGGTTCTGAGAGGTAGATCGGGACAGGATACCGGGTGTGGCTTGTCCAACCCGATCTCGTGTGAAGAGGCCAGTCTCCGTGGAGGAATCTTCCTTTCAGGCCACAAGGAGACCTAGCCCAAGCGGAGGCGGAAGGTGGCGATCTCCATGGGCTCCACGTAGACGTCAGTGCTATTGGAGGGCGAGGCCAGAGGGTACAGCAGGGTCAAGGAGGTTGGCTGCAGGAAAACCACGTCCAGGCCATGGAAGAGGCTCCCCAGGGCCACCTGTGTGGAGGGAGAAGGCACAGGGCAGTGCGGGGTGCTGACCCACCGTGCGCTGCTCCTCCTCTACGTGACCTGGGTGAGCCTCACGTCAGCACAGGCCCCCACACAGCAAGCGCCTACACGCGCAGTCAGTCTGCAGAGTGCTGGGACCCCCTCTATGGACTCAGGGCGGGAACCGCTGCACTGAGCTGTGAGGTCTCTGACGACGGGGACCATTATCTTTTCTTTTTCTTCCCACACCGTGCAAGGCTTTGCAGGATCTTAGTTTCCCAACCAGGGGTTGAACCTGGCCCATGGGAGGGAAAATGCTGAGACCTAACCACTGGACTGCCAGCGGGGACCATGTCTTGATTTACCTCTGAATCACTGGCACCAGCACACAGACGCATTGATCAGTGCTAGTCTTTGCTGGCTTAAACAATGACTAGAGTATGATGGCTTTTGGTTTTTAACTCCTGGTGTTTCTGTTTGTTTAACGCAGGTTCATACACGTGGAACCAAAGTTCTCTACCTGGACGCCTCGTCTGGAACCGGCCCCTGCCAGGCCTCAGAGGCTTTGAAAACACATCACCAGCTTCTTCCCCTTCTCTCCATGAAGTCCTAGAGTAACCCTGCCCACCTCCCCACTGGCTGCCTGCTGTTCCTGGTGCTCTGTTTCCCTGCCCTCTGCTCCCTTCCCACACTGGGGCCCTGCTCACCTTGCCTTGGCTTGTGGTGCAGTTGAAACCCAAGTTCTTGGCCTCAAGGCCACAGTCAAAACCCTTGCGGTGTAAGAGAAGCGCGGTTTCTGCCGAGGGCAAGCCATCCTCCTGGTGACAGACACACAGGGCAGCGCATGTGTGTGTGTGTGCATGTGTGTGTGTGTGTGTGTATGCGTGTGTGGGTGTGGGGGCCGGGTGGGGTCTCTGCAGGGCTCACAGGTGGGGCAGCACCTCTGCCAGGAAGGCAGGGTTGGATGGAGAGGAGTCTGGGTGAGGAGAGGCAAGGTCCGCTCAGGAGATCCAGCGCTGAACCGGACACTCACCTCGGCCTGGAGTGTCCGCAGGTTGAGCAGGTGGAAGTCACAGGGCAGTGAGGAGGCCAGAGGGTGAAAAGAGCGCAGAGCGGGGCCGGGGGCCTGCCTCCTGGCTACGGGCAGGGTGAGCACAGGGGTGTTCAGGTACATGGACGTCATGTGGCTGAGGAGGGACGGGTAGCTTGCAGAGGGGCCTTCGCGGACCTGCAAGACGGGCCGAGGTCTGGCTGAGGATGCGGCACCAGGGGAGCGGGAGGACGAAGCTCAGCCTGTCGGCTCCTGTGCAGAGAGCGTCCCTGATGTGTCCGGGTACAAGGGGTGCCTGACTCCAGAACCCTTCAAGTGAAGTCGCTTCCTGCCTCACACAGCTTAGGACGGGTGACCTCACTAGGCCACCACACCTCTAACTCTGGGGGCTTTTTGCTTCCTCATGCTCCCGTCAGCAATGTCTCCTACCATGTAGACTCTCAGAGTAGGGAGGAGAAGGGAAGACAGACAGACGGATGCTTCACCACGGAGGCTGGGCCTCTGACGGAGAAAGCCTCTGGGGCAACCCCAGTTTCGAGCTCGACCCGCCCGGATGCTTGAGCCCAGCAGTCCGCACCCCTTGGTCAGCAGACGGGGATGTCACATTCACAGGCCTGAGCTCAGCTTTCCTCCGTGGTGGCTGCTCCTCCACATTCTAGAATTATGTTCTTAACGTCTTCTCCCTATTGTCCAAATCTCACCCTTCCCTCAGACACGATCTCCATTCCCCTTGGCAGGGTCCCCACATCCACCTCCAGTTTCTCCCTCCCAGGGCTCAGCTCAAGCCACCAACACTGCTTCCTGCTTGAACATCCTTGCAGCAGTCACCCCTGAAGACCCACCCAGGTCCCCTGTGTGGGACTGATATGCCTAGAGCAGAGTCCTAACACAGCATTCCTTCAGCTCAGGTGCCTCACTGGCCTGCAGGAGGAAGTCCAAAGTCTTCGCTAGGCACTCCAGGCCCGTTTTGTCTGTCCCAAACCACCCTCCATGGCAGCCCACACTGGCCATGAGAACTTTCTGCAATCGTGGAAATACACTACATCTGCACTAGGACAGCACCTACCAACTATCTGTGGCCACTGAGCCACTTGGAATATGACTAGTTTGAATGAAGAACTGAACCCGTTATTATATTTAGTTTTAAATACATTTAAATGGCCACACATGGCTAGTGGCTGTCACACCAGATAGGTGGCTCTGGTCCAAATGAGTGAATTCACAGCCCTTCACATTCTTTCTTGCCTCCTACCCTGTGCCTTGGTTCAAATGTGTAGGGCAGACCCCCGCTCATCAAAGACGCTCATGGATGACACCTCCTCCAGAAAGCTGTCCTGGATTCCACTATGTTCTCTCATTCCTCAGGACCCATCGACATACCCATTTTCTACTTTTAATTTGCATACACAGCTCATCCCCCACCCCTACTCACGAGTCAATTCCTAGAGCACAGAGTCAGCATCGTATGCATTTGCCGCCCTCTCAGCCCTCACAGCACAGCGAGAACCCAGCAGCTATTTGACGAGTGAGTGACCAAGCCCCAGACGGGGGATCGGGCAGCAGGCTCTGCCACCAGGGACTCCAACTCCAGCTACACATCACTAAGGCTAGTTTGACACCCCGTCACTGGCCCTTACCTCTCGGTTCCTGTTCCTGCTGCTGTGAAAGATCAAGCCCCTAAACATGGCTGCCAGTTTGGAGAAAAAGCCAGGCTGGTGGGGGCAAAGAAAGCTGTGAGATGATTGGGGCAGCAGCAGAGAGGGGAAGAGGACACAGGGCGGGTGGGGAGGTGAGGGATGAGCATGAGAAGGCAGACAACAGCGAGCTGTGGAGAGGGAGGCGCCAGGCTGCGTGAGATGGAGCAGCAGAGCGTCAGACTCACTTCCCGCCACCCCGGGATCAGGCCCTACTCTGGCTACACCTGCCCGCCTCGAGGAGGCTCCCAGGCCGGGGCTGGAACCCAGGGTCACCCGTGGGCCTAGCCTGACCTGGCTCCCAGGGGGAGGCCCAGAACTCACCTCCCTGCCTAGGGTTCGCCGTTCCAACAGGAGGCGGAAGTGGTTGCAGGTTCTCTTGTTGTCCTTGAGCCCCTGGCCGAGGCCCCGGTTGTCGTCCTGCATCAGTCTCCGGTCCAAGATCACCTCTAGCTGGCCTGGGGGAGTTCACTGTGAGCCCCCGGCCTGCCTCCCTCGGCCCCAAACAGATGCTAGCCTCTGGAAGCAGCCCACCGAAGGCCCGAGGGGAAAGCCCAGCTGGAAGGCGAGTCACTCAGGGAACAAAGCAGCCAAGAAACGGGGCGATGGAAGGGGCCGAGGGAAGGGCTGTGACCTGGAGGCTCGCTGCCCATGTGTGTTCTGTGGCTCGGGAGCAGGGCAAGTCTGGGTGCCCAGGCAGGGACCCATCTCTGGGCTGCCTACATGCAACAAAGCAAGCAGCAACCACAAAACCCTGTCAACCGCCACGGGGAGCTGCTGCAGAGGCCCTGACCCAGGCCAGGCTCCGTCAGGCTGGGCAGATTTTGCCGTGAGCAGAACAGATGCCTCCTGCCGTGGTTCTATGCAGGACAGATGCCAACTCCGCCCACCACATCCGTCAAAAGGAGGCAGGGAGAGGACAGTCCCACAGCAGGTGACCACCTCTCCTTGCCTTTAAAAATATGCCTGGGGGAGGGGCTCAAGGCGTACATAGGTTGGAACGAGGATTTTTTTCCAGCACCTTTTTTTTCAAGACTCTCTTGAAGGAAGCCCATTCAGAGAGCTCTACCCACCCTCCCGCATCCCCTGCCCAGATCCTGATTTCTGTACCTCCCTGGTTTTTACCCTGAGCAACCACAGAAAGACACCCCCAATCCTAAAACGGACCCCTTGCATGTAAAACTGCCACTGTGAGCGCACTGTTTTCCGAAAGGGCAGGTGGACCGAGGTGGGACACTCGGCTGAGTGAGGAGCCTTACAGCTGGGTGACCGTGGGCAAAGGGGCAGCAGAGGCACAGGCCTTCCAGCAGGGTGGTCAGGCCCCCACTGTGCTCGTGGCTGGCCCCGCGGAGCCTGGATCGGGCACCCTTGGCTCAGCCCTGCGCCAGCCCAAAGATGGACTGCCTGACAGCCTCGGAAGGCAGCAAGTGCCAACTGTTCACTGTACCCCGAGGACACAGGAGCCACCTGGGCTGGCCCCGCGTGGCCGGCTCCCGGTCAGTCCTCTCAGGTCCTCCTTTTGATTCTCAAGACCATCCTTCTCTGTCTTTTTGGTCATTGTCTTTTAATGACGGAAGGCAGGAAGTATTTTTCTCTTTTGCTGGATAATTCATCCTAACCCCAAGACACTGTTCAGCCTGTCCCTACCCTGTCCCTCCCAGGAGAAGGCGCACACCCACCTCAGCTGCCGATCCCCCTCAATGCCCGCTGCTTCTGGAGGGGATCCAACAGGCCGCCCCCTCCCGTCACTCCCACAGCTGCCGGCACTAGGAAGAGGGGGCGACAGCGGGTGGCAGCCTTCCTGTCATCTCCCACTGGGCCTGTGGCCGACAGAGAGGGAGAGGCCCACGAGGGGACAGGCCTCAGGGGCAGGGATGGGCTTCTCAAGCTTGCCCTCTACACCTCCCCCACCACACACACACAGCGCCTGCTCCCCACTCACCATCATGGAGGCTGGAGACGCCCAGGGCCTGGGCCGTGTGCAGCGTGAGGCGGTTCCGAGCGTCCTGGAGGTAGGCCATGACGGGCATGGGGTAGAAGTTGGCCTGCAGGGGCAGCTTTTTCAGATACCGTCGGGGCTGCACCTGTGGGCAAGGCCAGGCGATCAGGGGCATCCCGGCCCCCTTTGGGCCCCATCAGCCTCCGATTCCTCCTCTTACAGAGCAGATCACCGGCCAGGCCTGTGATGCAGGCAGTAAACACTGTCAAGCCCTGTGCTCCACGGGGTCTCTGGGCCCCGGGCCTGAGGCATCACCTGAAAGCCATTGAGGTCCGTGAAGAAGGCGCCCTGGCTGTCGATGTCGGTGCGAATGCGCAGGGCCAGCTCCTTATTAACGTAGTCCCGGATGTCCACCAAGGACGACACATCCAGGGACAGCCCCTCCACCCCTGGGTGCAGGACAGAGAGAGAGGCTGAGTGGAGGGAGCCACAGCCAGAGAGGGTGCCCCAGGGGAGTCCCAGCACTTCCGGCCAAGCTCTACCCCACGAAGGCTACACAACATGCTTTCTGGGGACAGACGTGTGAACAGACACAGACAGCAGGCAGGAGCAAGAGAGCACCACAGCCCACACCCTCCTCCCCGTGCTCCCCACCTGCAGTGCTCACCTGGCAGGTTGTACAGCCGGACCACTTGGTGAACGTGCTCGTAGCAGGCAACCACCTCTGAGAAGAAAGGGCCTTCAGTGACGCGCAGCACGGGTGGGTCCCTGGGGACGTAGGGCTGGGGAAAGAGCAGGGGGCAGTTGAATCCACGGCACGTGAGCAAAACAGGGAGGAGCCGGCCGCCGTCAAGCAGCGGGACTTGCTGCCAGCAGGCTCTGGGCTGAGACCCCGGCCAAGCCGGGCCCAGGCCCCAGGTGGCGCTCCTTGAGCCCTCGCCCCCGACGGAGGCAGTGGGTGAGGCGCCCTGGCAGGCAGGGGATGCCCTGGAGAAAGGCCTGCGCCCCTCCTCATGCCCGCCGCTCGTGAATCCTCCCAGGGCCCCCTGGGGTTTGTGGGGTATCCTCAGGGTACCTTGGCCTCGCCGTCAGGCAGGAAGAGGTAGGCGCCACTCTTGTCTTTGGATGAGCGGGTCCCATAGACGAGGAACTCCATGTCCACCCTCTGTTCCTGCTCCTCATCCACCCTTCGGACACTCTGCCAAGAAACACAGCCCTGACCCCTGGCCCCACACCAGCACATCAGGCCTGCCCCCTGGGAGGGCACGGACGAACTTCCCCAAGGAGCCCAGCCCTGCTTCCCTATGCTGTCGGCTCGGGGCCGACACGGCCCACTCCCAGGTCCACTGCCAGTCTGGTGGCAGCGCTCACGGGCCAGAGGCAGCTCGCGTGACCCGCTCCAGCTCCCAGCCCCTGGCCCTTTACCTTGAGGAGCCCGGTAAGGCCTGAGAACCAGACCTGCATGTAGCGGTTGCTGAGGGCGAAGTCACTGGTGCCCGAGTCAATGACCCGGAGAGGGAACGCCTCATTCCTGTTGACTGACAGCGGCCGCCCGTGTAGGTAGATGCGCACGGAAGAGGGCAGCGTGCGGGGCCCATCCAGGCCCTGCTGCAGCTGCAGGATGCCAAGACCCAGCGCTGGCAGGCGGACAGGCAGAGACACCTGCAGGCACGGGAGGGGTGCGGGCCTTGGACACGGGCCCGGGGTTCTGGCCCAAGAGCCCGAGCAAAGCCTGCACCCACTGGCGGGGGGCGCCTGTCACCTCTGAAAGGGCAGGTGAGGCGACTTGCCCCTCATCAAGACTTTCATGAGTCTCCAATGATACTCAAAAAACCATGAAAAGGTAACCACACATAAGATTTCAAGAAAAATCTGCTGAATTAATGAATAATGGAACGACGTAGCTGCCATCCTTCCTACTGTCACACTACAACAAACTTCACCTTCCTTTCAAGGACAGACTCAAATCCCAGGAGTGACTAAACTCCGGGTAACCCCTCTCCTCAAAACGCCAGTTCCCAACACGGGGAGTAAGAAGGCTACGAGCAGGAGGTTGGGAAGCCAGTGTCGAGAGACAGCCTGAGGCCCCAGGGAGAGGCCAAGGATCAGCACAGAGGACTGTGGCGGGGCCCCACTTGCCGAGCCCCCCTCACCTGATAGACGTCAGGGACCATGTCGGTGGCAGAGCTCCAGTGTGCGCTGAGCTGCACGGCCAGGGGCTGACCCTCCTCTGAAAGCACGCGCACCCGGGGTGAGCTCACCAGCAGGGACACCACGCTGAGCCGCTCCTGTTCCAGTGGGTTGAACAGTACCACGTACCTGTGAGGAGAAGGCAGGCTCACCCAGGAGGCCCCTGCTCTGGGGGAATGGGAGCAGGGAACATGGCCAGGCCAGCAGTCTCTTAGAGGTGCAGCGGCAGCTGGGAAGGGTGGAGAGCCAGGGAGGGGCTTTGCCTTCCTGCCCGGCTCACCTGGGTGAGGATTCCAGCTGGATCACTGTGCGCTCTGGAAGGGCGTCGTGATTTAAGCGGGTGTCATCCTGGAATTAAGTCAGGGGGAGGGAAGAACCATCGTATGGCTCAGCCTGACTCATAGACTTGCCTCCCCAGACCCCAACCTGTCCTGATGGGGACCAGCAGCTGTGCTGGGCAGGGATCTTTCACCCCAGGATGGGGAGGGAAAAGAAGAGCAAGGCCCTTGCACCACAGCTCTCGGCCCAGGCCCGCACACCAGAGGTCCCCTCGGGCAGACACAGGAGCGGGGCTCACCATCTGCAGGAAGGGCACCTCTGGGTCAAAGTGGTAGGTCTTCTTGTCCCCCAGAACCAGGTAGTGAGCTGCATTAATGATGACCTGCTTCAGGCTGACAAGGGAGCGCAGAAGCCTGGGAGGGCAGGCAGGAGAGGGATCAGGGGAGAGGTGACCACCGAGAGACTGTCCACCCACCTGCAGGGCGAGCCCCCAGCCGGTCAGCCCACCGACCACTCGGTGCATCCTCATATTGGGGACGGTGGGCAGCAGCATGGAGAAGAGGAGAGGGCTCCCACCTGACCCCATAGTCCACCACAACGGCCTCCTTGGCGGTGCCCGTGATGGCGTCGTGGTGCTGGAAGAGCCCCAGCGTGCGCCGTGCATCCGTCAGAAGGGCGAAGTTCGAGAGCGGGAACTGGCTGGCCAGTCCAGTGCGGCGGGTGTGAGCCACAGCCAGGCTGTACAGAATCTCTGCACCCCTGCCCAGATAGACAAGTCGGCCTCCTGCCACACAGCTCCGCTGGGCCCACCCTCGCTCTGCAAGCCCCATGCCTCTCCCTTCCTCTCCTTCTCTGTGTCATGGTCGCCATGCCCTTTGCGTCCCCGCTCAGCCAATCCAGCCCCTCCTTGAACCCATCTCCCTCCAGCCTGGCAGCAGGGCCGTCTCACCGCAGGTGCGCTTCCAGGACGCGGTCCAGGTTCTTGTAGAAAGGCCGTGAGGTGTAATAGCCTGTCCAATAGTGGTCCTCCCGGTCGGCGTAGGAGAAGAAATCCCCGCTCAGCACAGGGAAACCTGGAGGCCGGGCCCCCGGCTCCACCCCTGTCCTCTTGTAGAGAGCGTCAAAATAGTCGGAGAGGGTGCCAAACTGGGCCTGTGGGGACCCCAAAACCCCCTTCCATCAGCTCCAGAGTCTTCTGGGAATTCTGGCTCCCCCCCCACAGCTGGGGGTGAGGGGGAGCAATCTGGTCTATGCAGAGGGTAGTCCCTGTGTAGCCTGGACCTCACAGAAGCTGGGGAGCCTGGGAAAGAATTGTGACAAAGAAGGAAAAACACACCCAAGAACTGTGAATGCACCCCTGCTCTGGAGTGGTATGGGGGAGCAGCAGACCTCACAGGAGCGGCTGGGCTGCAGCCCCGCCGAGGCCCCCTCCCAGCTCAGTGTCCCCTCACACCTGCACGTGGAGGTCAGGCTTGCTGTTGAGGAAGTCGAAGAGCCGCTGGTAGTTGAAGAACTGGGCGTCCCACTCCTGGGGCTTGTCATAGCGGAAATCATCGCCCAGCGGCACCAGGAGCACGTTGCTCCGGAAGAGCCGGGACTTCTTCCTGTACTGGTCCAGGAGCAGGCCTGCCCTGCGGGTGGGGAGGGGAACCGGCTCACACGGAGCCTTATCACCGGATCCTGAGGGGAGCCAGCCTGAGAGGCGCCCCCTCATATACCCCTGTCACGGACTCACTCGGCTGGTGGGTAGGAAACCCAGCTCCAGGGAGCCCGGGCTTCTCTGGGCAACTAGAGAGTTCTTCCTGAGGCACGGCTTCAGTTCCCTGGCCCCAGTTCTGCCCTGCACGCCACACAGAACAAATAAGTCCTCCATGCCCACGTCAGTCCCTCAGACAATCAAGATGTGCAAGCATGCCCCTGGGCTTCCTCATCAGGCTCTGCAATCCCCGCTCTTCCATCCCCACTCTTCCGTCTCTCTGGTTCCTACAGAGCAGCTGGGAACCCACTCACCGGCAGGTCTCTGAGGAGCCCATCAGCCACATCCCGGAGTGCAGGGCCCAGCACTGACTGTGCAAGTCCAGGGGAAGGCAGGCCACACTCCCGGCATGGCCAGAGTGGCCGTGTGTTCACACAGGCCTGTTTGGCAGCCCCTACTCTCACCCCACAGTGCTGAGGTTAGGGATCATGTTTTCTGTGCATGCGGCCCAGCAAGACCTTTTCTCATCCTGAACTTTCCTATCCTGTTTACGGATGCTAAGGATTGAACCTTACTGTTATATCTAATACGAATAAAAGTCTTATCTGGTTGGATTCAGCCCACATTTCAACCTCTTGAGATCTTCTGGGATCCTGAGTCTGACACTCCAGCCAGAGTGTGATGTGGCACCGCCCCGGAGTGAAGAGCCCCGACTCGGGCTGGGTGACACCAATGCGAGTTGTGCATGCACTAGCTGTGCCACCTTGGGCAACTTACTGAAGCTCTCTGGGCCTCAGTTTCTATCAAATGAGGATGACATCAGTACCCACTATCACAGTATTGTGAGATTTAAAATGAACTGAACTAATATTTGTTAAACACTTAGAATAGTGCCTGGCACATAGTAGTAACTATATATAAACGTGTTATTTTCTTTTTCATCCCAATCACTAATATAATCAATAGAAAAACAGAGCCCTGTCGCATTAAAGCCTCTCTTTTTAGACAAGTCTGATAAGTGGCAGGTTGTGTGTGTCACAGTTCAACCAGCCACTAATGTACTTGGTCCAGTTTGTTCTTTGCCATCTTGTTCTCAAGGAAGTGAAGTGAAGTGAAGTCGCTCAGTCATGTCCGACTCTGCGACCCCATGGACTGTAGCCCAGGCTCCTCTGTCCATGGAATTTTCCAGGCAAGAGTACTGGAGTGGGTTGCCATTTCCTTCTCCAGGGGATCTTCCTAACCCAGGGATCAAACCCGGGTCTCCTGCACTGCAGGCAGATGCTTTACCATCTAAGGACTCCTCAAATGCTACCTTCCCCTAATTTATCAGCCCTGTAAGCCTTTTAAAGGAGAAAATGAGACTATCTCCCATGACTTGCTCTGTAAACCTTGCCTGGCCTTAAATCACAGCTGTGGCTCCAAGAAAAAGTGTGCCTTAAAAGCCCAAGGTTTTTACCTGGAAGTAGCATTTAGATTTTTGGATTCTAGAAACAAAAGACTACTTTCTTTTGCTTTTGGTCACATGTTTCACCTCTTGGACGTCATGGAAACTGGAGTATTGCAACACAAAAACCAGTTCAACTTGTTACATTCTTAAAGCCAGTCCAGTTCTGGCTGAATCATTGTTTAGGTCTCTCTTAACCCACCTTTTCCCGAGGGAGCCATTTCAGCATTATCTTTAGGGATCCCCAAGGGTTTTCTCAAAGGGAATGGGTCTGTTTTCTGTGGGGCAGGACAGAATGTGCATCTGAATGAGATTCCAGGTGCACGGAGCCTGAGGATCCTGGCCGACTTCAAGCCAAGGCAGGAGGCCTGAGCTTAATGAAGGCACAGCAGGCTGAAGGTTGGAAGGCGCTGCACTAATTTGAGAATCATTTGCCTCGGAGGCACTCCACTGGCTCCAACATTAGTTTATAAGGACACTGGAAAACACACTCATTTGGGAAAATAAAGCCCTTCTGGAAAAGGTGGTTCCTTACAGCCACTCTGGTTTTTCAGGAAAACGCACTAAAAGAATTGTCACTGAAAGGGCTATGGGCCTGAACTCACCAGCCGACCCTGCCCCCATCTGATGAACGTGGAACCTGAAGCCCCGCCTTGCAGCAGAGCCCAGACGTGTTTGCAGAGGGGGAACGGCGCCACCACACCCAGTCCAGGGCTGCCAGCAAGTACCTCTCGGCCACATTGGCCTCCGTGATAGCCCGGGGCGGCACCTTCCATGGGCAGCTGATACGCCCACCAGGCAAGCGCTTGAAATCGAACTGGCAGCAGATTTTGGGATCCGGGCCACACGTATGGGGGACATCGTAGCTGTAGAAAGGCATCATGTGGCAGAAGATGTCTGTGCTGGCATCTGAGTCTACAGAAGACATGCCAAAGAGTCAGGTCCTGGAGCTGGGCTCAGGGAAGCTGGCGGGGGAGGTAACTACTCCAGCTAAAGGCGGGAACTACACTCAAGGCTACGAGAACATGGTGGCCAGGGTCAGGATCAGGGAGGGCAGGGGAGCCCATGGCTCCTCCAAGGGACAGACAGGCTCCACAGTGTCCAGGGATATCAATGCGATCCCCTACCTAACCTAAAGGCTAGCGCTTCTGATGGTCTACACCAATGCTCTGAAGGACTGGTGGGTCTTATTTCTGAAACCCCTGCCTTCCCCCGGGAGAACTACCGCTGCGACCCCCTCCACCCTACCTGGCCTTACCCCAGGTCTGCCTCCACATGAACTCCAGGCTGTGGCTGGCAGCGAAGTGCTTCTTGATGGCATAGTGCACCCTCTGAATCAGCATGCTGGTCAGGTTGGCACGGCGCAGCAGGTAAGGCATGGTGGGGCTGTACCCAAAGGGGTCCACCGCCCAGCCTGAGCGCGGGGTTGCACCTGGGCAAGGGCACAGAAGTCAGAGGCATGAACGCCCCAGGGCCTGGCCACCAGGTCCTTGGCCCCACAGCCCCTCCTGCCATCACCCTGCAACCATGCTGGTGCAATCAGCCTTGAAAGGAAGCATCCCCTGCCCACCCCAGGCCTTAGAGCCCCACTGCTGTCCTCTGGCCCAGTGATAGGGGCAGACTCCGGCTCCTGAGCCTGGACTCACCCAGGTTCTTCTCCAGCCACTGGTGGCCCTCGATGAGCTGGTCAATCAATGCAAAGTAGTGGGAGTTGGCCTCATCCGGCATTACCCAGCCTCCTGTTGCAATCTCCAGCTGCCCGTTTCCCACCAGCCTGGAGTTAAGGGTGCACACTCAGCATGGGGTAGAGACCCTCTGCCCAGTCCTGCCAACCAGAGGAGGGGACCTGTGTGCACTGGCCTCACTGAGCCAGTTGACCTGAACCCAGGACCAACCACGGGAATAGACACACGCCCTCCTTTCCCCCAGCCAACCTCCAGCTGCACTGGCTCTGTTCCTCCCTGGACTTGGTCTGCACTTCCAGGGCCAGGCCCTACATTTTCTCTTCCCTGGGCTCACACTACTGTGATTTTTCCTAATACGAGTGACCCTCAAATCCGTTCCTGCCTCCTCGTCCAGGGTCCCGTTACCATCACACCCCATCTCTGCTCTGTCTCCTCCTGCCTCTCCCTGGCACCCACAGCTCCAGGAAAGGACTTCACACCCATCCGAGGACCCGGAGGGCCCTCCCGCCTCCCCAGTGGGCACTGGCCTTCGGACTGCTGCTCTCTTTTGGGCACTGATGTTGTCCCACCACTTGGCGAAGAAGGAGACTTCTGCCCAGATGAAGCGCCGCCGGGGGTCCTCCTGCAGCTTGGACACCATGTTGTTGAGGATGTGTTGGGTCTGTTCTGTGTAGTACTTGTCAAAGGTCTTGAGCCAGCCTGGGGGAGCCAACAAAGGGTCCCCTGAGGATGCCACCATCTTCTCCAACTGTCCCTCCCTTACCTTTGCCACCAGAAAGTCCACCCAAGCCAAAGCAATCTTGAGAAAGAAAAATGGGACTGGAGCAATCAAGTTCCCTGACTTCAGACTACACTATAAAGCTACAGTAATCAAAACAGTATGGTATGAGCACAAAACCAGAAATCAACAGAGTAGCATAGAAAGCCCACAGATAAACCCACACACCTATGGTCACCTAACCTATGACAAATGGGGCAATGGAGACTAGACAGTCTCTTCAGTAAGTGGTGCTGGGAAAAGTGGACAGCTACATGTAAAAGAATGAAATCAGAACATTACCTAACACCATACACAAAATAAACTCAAAATGGATTAAAGACCTAAACCTAGGACCAGATACTATATACAGCTTTTAGAGAAAAATGTAGGCAGAACTCTCTGACATAAATCACACCTTTTTTGATCCATCTCTTAGAGTAATGAAAATAAAAACAAAAATAAGCAAATGGGGCCTAATTAAACTTAAAGGGTTTTGCACAGTAAACTATACACAAAACAAAAAGACAACCAACAGAAGAAAATATTTGCAAATGAATCAACCAACAAGGGATTAATCTCCAAAATAAACAACTCATGCAGCTCAGTATCAAAAAAATAAACAACCTGATTAAAAAAAGGGGCAGAAAATCTAAATAGACATTTCTCCAAAGATATACAGACAGCAGCCAAAAAGCATGTGAAAAAGTACTCAACACTGTTAACTAGTAAAGAAATGCAAATAAAAACTACAATGAAGTTATCACCTCACACCAGTCAGAATTCCCATCATCAAAAAGTCTACAAATGCTAGATAGGGTGTGGAGAAAAGGGAGCCCTTCTACACTGTTGGGAATATAAACTCATACAACCATTATGGAGAGCAGCATGGAAGTTCCTTAAAAAAAACTAAATGTAGAACTATTGTATGATTCAGCAATCCCACTCCTGGGCATATGCTTGGAGAAAACCAGAATTCGAAAAGACACACACACCCCAATGTTCACTGCAGCACGATTTACATTAACCAAGACATGGAAGCAACCTAAATGTCCGTCGACAGAGGACTGCATAAAGAGGATGTGGTGTATACATACAGTGGAATATTAGTCATAAAAAAGAATGAAAGAAATACCATTTACAGCAACTTGGATGGACCTAGAGACTGTCATACTGAGTGATGTTAAGTCAGACTGAGAAAAACAAATATCATATGATACTGCTTACATATGGAATCTAAAAAGATGGTACAAATGAATTTATTTCAAAAACAGAAAACAGACCCACACACATATAAAACAAACTTATGGTTACCAGGAGAAAGAGGGGAGAGGAATAAATTGACATAAACACACTACTATATATATAAAATAGATAGCTAATAAGGACCTACTGTATAGCATAGGGAACTCAATACTCTGAAATGACCTATAAAAGAAAAGAATCTATGAAAGAGTATACATATGTATAAATGGTTCACTTTGCGGTACACCTGAAACTAACAGAACATTGTGAATCAACTATATTCCAATTAAAAAAATAAACAGGGCTTCTCTGGTGTGTCAGTGGTAAAGAATCTGCCTGCCAATGCAGGAGAGATGGGTTCGATCTCTGGTCCAGGATGATCCCACATGCCTTGGGACAACTAAGCCCAGTACCACAGCTCCTGAGCCTGTGCCCTAGAGCCCGGGAGCAGCAACTACTGAGCCCGAATACTCTAGAGCCTCCTGTGCTCTGCAATGAGAGAAGTCACCACAATGAGAAGCCCTCACATCACAACTAGACAGTAGCCCACGCTTGCCACACCTAGAGAAAAGCTCACCTGGCAACAAAGACCCAGCGCAGCCACACAAACAAATTTAGCAAAAAAGAAAAAGCTCTCTGCTTGGTCCCGGGGTCTGCCGGGCACTCACGTACCCGGGTCATTGTGAGAGTGGGGGACCACGAACACCTGCAGGCTTTCGGTGTCCCAGTCGCGGGGGCTGTAAGAGATGTCGAAGCCTTGCTTCCACACGCCGCCATCCACGTTGTCAAACGGTAACTCCTCTGACACAGTCAGCATCTGCCAGGCAGGAGGAGAGCAGCTCAGAGCCCCGGCCACAGCCACCGGGGGTCCCTGCCGGCTCTGACTCTTACCTGCAGCTCTGGCTTCTGGCCGTGGCCCCCCAGAGCAAACTGGCAGTCTTGAGGGGAGATGGAGAAGAAGCTGGGCCGGGGCTCTGGTGGCACCACCCAGGAGCCGTTGGCCACATAGTAGGGCAGCAGGGCGGGCGGGCCCTCCACGTTGGCTGTCAGCTCCAGCACAGAGTCCTTGATGTGGCTGATGATCTCATGGTTCTCCTCCAAGAGCTGCTCCAGCTGTTCAATGCGGTTCTGCAGCACAGATATCTGACTCTGCCCCAAAAAAGCAGAAAGCAGTCACCCCCAGCTCCCTATGTCACAAGGAGGATCACTGGATGCGGCTCACTGCCTGAGGCCTGACTATGATCCTTCCTTCCCTAATCAAAGGCAGGACCAGGAGCCTAAAGGGCCAGAAGGTGAGGGGTGTGGTTCGAATCACTACTGAGGACTGCAGCCCACTTGGGCTGGGAGTATCCTCACTCTCTAGCTTATGGATGGCAAGGATTTCACCTCCCATGCCTATTCTCAACAATCATGTCGCCTACCTGGAGCACCGTGCTGACAAGGACTGCACCGGGGCTTAGTGGGAGGGAAAGCTGCAATCCACAAGCAATGTCTGCCAAGAATTCAGGCAGACAGAGCAGCAGTACCCAGTGCCATTTTTCCTCTCTCCTTTCTTTTTTGCCATCATTGCCTACAGCTTTCTAGAAAATCTGCCTGTTGACCTGGGCTGCCATGACTCTCTAGCTGGGGCAATAACCTGATCCTGGATAATTTATGCATGCAGAGGTTAGCAGCCAGGACTGACTCACCCGGGGGAAGTTCCCACCGTTCTGGTGTCGAGCAGGATCATGTTGTACTCGGTCCAACATGAGGTAGAGCGAGAAGACAGCCACGCAGAAGATTGCAGCCCCACACACTGTCACCTGCTTTTTCAGCTTCATACTGGCCTCCACACACACCTGGCTGGAGGGACATCAGATGTAGCTCCGGCAAGCAAAAATCCCTTGGTGGTCTTTCCACCAAATGCCTCAGTGAGTTCCTGCTCCTGAGGAACACCAATCTGCCTAAATCCAAAGAAACAAAAGCTTCTAGTGCTCCGTGATGACCTGGCAGGGCAGGATGGGGAGGCAGCTGGAGGGGAGGTTCAAGAGGGAGGTGACATGTGTATACTTATGGCTAACTCCTGTTGACTCACTGACTCAATGGACATGAGTTTGAGCAAACTCCCGGAAATAGTGAAGGACAGGGAAGCCTGATGTGCTGCAGCCCACAGGGTCGCAAAGAGTCAAACACAACTTAGAGACTGAACAATTTCTGTGATGGCAGAAATCAATAAGACTCTAAGGCAATTATCCTTCATTAAAAAAAATTTTTTTAATGTGGGAGATATACATTAAAAAGAGAAAAGAAAGCTTCTAAGCACAGACTCCTAACACTGGCTATGGATCCAACCTGGATTGTATTCTCCGGGCTGACACAGAAAGCACTAGTAAGACTAAGCACATTTGAGGCCAGTCCTGCCTGGTCATGGTAGCAGCTCTGTCCCCAGGGTGGATGTGACACTCTCTCCCACGTGGATGCCATTAAAAAGCAACAGGATCACAAAACTTTCCAGCTGTGACTCCTGAGCTAGCCATACAACTTCTCGTTATAACCAGCCGCCCACAGAGCTTGCCTACAAGAAAGACCCAGCCAGTGAAAGGAGGCGGGTGTCCAGGCTCCCTGGCCATGAGTCTCTAATTTCAGAGGAATAAACTGGCATCTATTTTGATTTAAAGGATACAGTCAAAGCTCCAAGAGACTAACAAGAAAGCCTTTCTCCCTGCCTGCTTGGATCAGACTGGTACTCACCGAAAACACTGCCTGGCACAGCTCCTCTCTTATTCAGGAATACAGAATGAATTTAAAAAAAAAAAAAACAAACCAACAAAGCAGCAGCAGCAGCCACGGCTTGTTTCTAACAGAAAGTCCTCCCCCTGTTCTAATTCCCACAGTGGGCAACTTTCAGCCTCTGCTTACAGAGCATTTAGGGGACCCCCCTCGGAAGCCCGCGGTGATGGATGTCGAAGATCCCCTGGGTAGGGAGAAGCTAGGCACAGCTGTGGGGCAACTTGAGAGCATCAGCGCCCTCCACCACCGCCCGCGGCCCGCACTTGCCTGCGGGGCTGAGAGAGACCTCTAGTCGCCAGGCGAGCGGGGGCGGGAGCGGCCGCTCCAGAGCCTTCCTCCAACCCTGGGGCTGAGACGCTCTGTCGCCTCGGCAGCGTTGTGCCCTACTTAGCACGATCTGATTCCGCTCAGGAGCCTCCGGGCAATATTTTTAGCCCTGGTAGGCTGGGTCCAGGCCACAGAAGGTGGAGAGCTGGGGAGAGAAAGTGGGATTACCGAGGGGGGCCGGCACCTGCCGCCGGGTCTTCGGCCACTGGCCGGCCCGCCCGCCTGCCGCCCGCAGCCCCCTCCCGGCGCTCCCAGCCCACGGCGCTCCGAGGCTCTGCCGGGCGCAGGACCGCAAGGGCCACTGTCCGGTGAGGAGGCCGGAACCACCTCCGACGCCGGAGCCACCTCCGACTCCGAAGCACCATTACCGTATGCGCTCCTGACGCCCACGGCCGACTTCGGCCGGGGCCGCCGCCGGAGCCCCGTCCGCGCCCGCCCAGCGTGTTAACGTCCGCGGTCTCCCGCCGGCCGGCCCGGACGCTTCCGGTGCGGTCTACGCCGTGACCCCCGGCGCCGGCAGAGGGTCCGCAGTGCGCAGCCGCAGCCCGGACCCCAGCCTCGGCGCGCCGCGGAGCCGCGAGGACGGGTGCGTGACTTGATGTTTTCTGACTCTTCCTAGATGTCAGCACCTGAACTACCAGTAGCAGAAACAGTCCTCCTCCATTTCACCAATCGAAGGGTGGAGTGCGTTTTCCGGCCCCCTCTCAGCTCTGGTGTAGGTATCCTTCGCTTGATGCAATTACGCTCCTCGGACAAAGGAGTGCTGCCTCCTGGTGGTACCATGCATTAATGACAATTCCCTCTCTGAGTTTGCAATTAATGAATAAGACACATACATTTCTCGCTTGTCCTTTTACTGGACATCAGGGTTTATAATTTTGCAGCATACTAAACCACACCAGTGAACATCTCTACTTGTCTTCTTTTAAAAGTATTACCTTGGGACGTGCCTGGTGGTCCAGGGGTTAAAAATCTTCCAGTGCAAAGGACTCAGGTTCGATCTCTGGCTGGGAAAATAAGATTCCACATGCCATAGGGCAACTACTGAGCCCACGAACCACAACTAAGACCTAGTGCAGCCAAAACTAAATAAATATTTTAAAAAATTAGAATTATTACCTTAGGACAAATTTGCAGCTGTGAGGTTACCTGCTCAAAAGATTAGGACTGACAAGACTAATGATACTTGGCATTCTATTGCTCCCCAAAAGAGTTGTGCCAGCTTCCACCATCAATTACAAACTAGAAAATTGCTTAAGCAACTTTTTTGTTGATTAGCCAGATTGTCAAACCCACTTCATTGTTTTAACTCCCATTTCATTTATTACCATCAGAAACATTTTTCTAGGTTTATTTGCTAACTAACATGCCTGTTACTAAAGTGTTAGAGGTAGTCTGGGTTCATCATCCTCTGTGTTTATCCTGTGTTTCTGTGCTTTGTCCTTGTGGTCTGGGAAATTTATCTTCCAACCTGTCTACTGAATTGTTCATTTTGGCAATCATAAGCTTAGTTACAAGAGCTCTTATTGGTTCTCTGGTAAGTCTTTTTTTTTTTAAACTGAGACACAACAAAGTATGTGGCTCAAGTCTTAAGTATACTGTTTGATGAGTTTAAAACTCAGCTATAAATGAATATACAGGTTTAATCATCACTCAGATCAAAACACAGAACTTTCTCATCACTCCCAAAGGTTCCCCTCTATCAAGAGGTCAAGGACTTCCCTGGAGGTCCAGTGATTAAAAAGCTGCCTGCCGATGCAGGGGACATGGATTCGGTCCCTGGTTCTGGAGGATTCTGCAGAGCACATGCTGCAGGGCAGCTAAGCCTGTGTGCCACAACTACTGAACCCATAAGCTGCAACTAATGAAGCCCAAAGGACCTGGAGCCTGTGTTTGGCAACAAGAGAGTAGGCCCTGCTTGCCACAGCTAGAGAAATCCGAAGTGCAGCAACCAAGACCCAGAGTAGCCAAAAATAAATAAATAATTTTTTTGAAAGGTCAAACATTCCCTAAGAGCAGCATGGTAGCTAACAGGGCCGCAAATCATTGTGCACAAATCTCTGCAGACACCTAGCAAGATGTGTCTACCATACTTCCATGATATCCAGCTAGTAAGGAGATGATAAGCCCCAATGGATCCAGACTGCTATTACCCACACAGACAGCAAAAGCATGGCCAGCCTGGTCCCAGCTTTCCCCAGCCACAGGATGACACTGAACTGGAAGGACCAGATGACAGGGAGCTTGGTGGTAGGTGTCGCTGCAGCTGAGAAGCCGACTATTAATAACTCAGCTGCTATCAGACAACTTTATGACCTGCCGCTACACTCTAAGTGGGGGGAGAAGGGTGGGGCAAGGTGAAGAGGCCTACCCTTCACTGAAACTAGGCAAAGGGATGAGAAATGGCTTTGTGGAATCTCCCAGAAGAAGGTGGCTCTTCACCAGGCTGCTTCTCTCCCCCTGTTCAGGAGGAATCATAGGGTGTTCTGACAAGACTCAAATTGGACAGTGATCAAGCCTTGCCTCCCGTGGCAAAGTCATCAGGGCAATGTATCAGAGCCGTTTCTAAACAGTCTACCTTCCACCACCCTGACCTTTCATGTATCCAGCAAAGAATTCTTTTCAGGAGCATCAGTCACCCCAAGAGGTGGTCCTATTCATTGCACTGGTGGGAGCTTGCACCAATAGGCACTTGCTGCCTGTCTATCTTAGGCAACATAAGTTGAGAGTGACCACACCTATGTGTCCCAGCAGGATGATCAGACCCACTTGCGGATTAGACCACAGCCAGTCTCCTTATCTGTAGCCAAACCACAGTATCCCAGATGCTACTGGGGATCAACCTTAGACCCTCCCTGTTTGTGAGGGTCTCTCTCAAGAGAGAGAGTTAGGACTTCCCTGGTGATCCAGTGGTTAAGAGTCTGCCTGCCAGTGCAGGGGGCACTCATTGCATCCCTGGTCTGGGAAGATTCCACATGCCGCAGGGCAACTAAGCCTGGGCACCACAACTACTGAAGCCTGCACATCCCAGAGCCCATGTTCTGCAGCAGGAAAAGCCACCACATTTTCCTGCCTTGGGGTAGGTATTGTGCTATCCTGTCTAGGGCAGTTTGAACTGGCTTGTTTTTCTAATTAGGATGTCATCGATAGAATAATACCAAGGTGCTTCTAATGGGATTCCAGGCTACTCCATGTTTTGGTGTTTCCACTGGTGGCAAATCACAGGGGAATTCAGGTAGACCTGTGACAGCACTGAAAAGGTGTATTGTAACCCAAGCCAATAAAGACAAGCTGATTTCCATTCTTTGGGTATAATGGAATGTTTAAAAAGACATTAGCCAGGTCTGTCCTCTCAGAGCCCAATAACGAGAGAGAGTTTTCAGAAGTCCTGGTGGTCCAGGGGTTGAGAATCTGCCTTGCAATACATGGCTCATGGGTTAGGGTTCCAATGTGCTGTGGAGCAACTAAGACCCCTCATGCTGCAGCCAAATGAATAACTAAATATTCAAAAACAAAAGCAAAAAAAACAAGAGAGTTTGTCTTCATGGAAAGACTATCACTTTCCTCTTTGGGGACCCCTTGTGTAATAGCCAAACACACATGGCCTTATGGCAGGTTTCTCTCCCTACCCTGGCCTGTAGTCTGTTACCTTGACCTTTGCCGAGGTTTCCATTCTGGGAAAATGATTGCACGGTAGCTGAAGAGTTTCCCAGAGACATCCTCAAGAGCAAGAGAAGATTTGGTTTCAGCCTTGGGCTGCTAGAGTTGAGCAAACGTTCAATCTGAATTTGGGGTAGCAATTTCATCATCTACATTTTACCACAGTTTTTTTTTCATTAATGGATAGGAAAATCTGCCATACAAAGAGAGTTTCTGTGAAACAACCAATTAATGTATTTAGGAGTATACAACTTCAGTCCCTGAAAGATTTGAGACAGCTTTCAAAAATATGTGTAGTACTAAAAGATTAGGGCTTTCCTGATGAATCAGCAGGTAAAGAATCTGCCTGCAATGCAGGAGACACAGGAGACTAAGGTTCAATCCCTGAGTCAGGAAGATCCCCTGGAGGAGGGCATGGCAACCCACTCCAATATTCTTGCCTAAAAAACCCACGGATAGAGGAGCCTGGCGGGCTACAGTCCAAAGAGTCACAGAGAGTTGGACACAATTGAGCACCTAAGAACACACATTTCATCATCTGGGTATGCATGTCTCCATAATGAATCCAGACTGAGGTCACAGCGGACTAAAAGAAAGTGACTACTTGGCCATGTTGGCACTCAGTGTGGGGCCGAAAAGGTCACATCCCTTTTCTGGAGCAAAGACAGGGCTCCGTGGGCTGTCAGGTCAAGTGTGGGCTAGAACTCTGGCGCAAGGATCGAGACAGCTCATTACTCACACCAAGAGCAAAAGCATGACCAGCATGGTGTCAAGTTCTGTCTAGTGCTCCTAATGCTGTAGGCTGACACTGAACTGAAGGGACAGATGACAGGAGGCATGGTGGCAGGCCACTCTGCAGCTACAGAGCCAACTCTCAACTATGGCCAAGCAGTTGTAGGGCCTCGGGCCTTACTTCACAAGGGAAGGGGGCCAGATGGGAAGCCTGCACTCAAATGAAACTAGAGAAATGAAAAGTGGTCTCCCACAATATAGGAAGGCTCCTCTCTAGGCTGCTGTGTCCTCTTGCTCCAGGAATAATAGTGGTATATTCTGTCAAGACTCCAGTCGCCAGGCACAAACCTTGCCCACGTGGTCAGTGTAGAGACATGCAAGGTTATAAGGACACCAAGGCAGTGCTGTTTCCCTATGCGCCGACCACTTCTGTTGGTGCCCCTCAGACAACCACTGTTTTCATTTCTCTACAGCTTGGTTTTGCCTGTGCTTGAACTTCCTGAAATGGAATCACAAGCACTGCTTCACACAGAGTTTCTTTGCTCAACCTGTCTTTGAGATTCATCAGTGTTTGGTGCATATACTTATGGTTTGTTCTTTTTTATTGCTATATAGACATTTGGGTGATCTCCAGTTTACTCTGGTTCTAGCTCCTCTCTCTCCTTCTGGAACTTCAGTTACCTTGGAGTCTCACATGTTTCTTAGGCTCTGTTCTATTTCTTCTTCTCTCTTTCTTAGTTCAAAAGTGAAACTATTAGTTGCTCAGTTATGTTGGACTCTTTACAACCCCATGGACTGTAGCACTCCAGGCTTCTCTGTCCATGGGATTTTCCAGGTATGAATACTGGTGGTGGTGGTGTAGTTGCTAAGTTGTGTCTGACTCTTTGTGACCCCATGGACTGTAGCCTGCCAGGCTCCTCTCTCCATGGGATTCTCCAGGCAAGAATACTAGAGTGGGTTGCCATTCCCTTCTCCAGGGAATCTTCCCAACCCAGGGATCAAACCCACATCTCCTGTATTACAGACAGATTCTTTACCGTCTGAGCCACCAGGGAAGCCCTTTTTTAGTTTAGACGCTGTAAATCTGACTAAGTTCACTCACTAACTGTCTTTTGGTTAGAGAACGAATCCTGGGACTCTGTGTTTAGTCTGTATGTGACTGTATCCTTTAGTTCTATGAATTTTTAGAATTTGTAATTTCAGAGATGACATTTTTCAGTTCTACCTGCTCCTTTGATTCTTTTAAAATAGATTCCAACCCTGTTGAAATTCTTTGTATTTGCATCTATTGTGTCCAGTTTT